CATAGAGCTCCTGTCCTTTATAAACCATTCTGTTCTAATAGTTTCCTGGTTATAAAAGAGTATGCGTGCTTTCTCAATAAAGCGTTTTCTAAGAACACGTGTAGTCGATCTACACACTTTCAAACTGTATGAAACGTTCACAGAATGCTTTTTTCTGTCTGATATATCTACTCAATTAGCATAAATGCTTATGAACTGAGATACTGGTATTCGGCATTCTTTTCTATTAGAAGTTTTATAAGAAAAAAATAAAAACATATTTGAAATCAGTCCGAAAACTATATCGTATGATGCGGCATATGTTAATTTTTTACAATAGAAAAATTTTTACGGCAAAAGTATAGTGTTGAGTGTTTTCATGTATTTTCTATCGAAAACTTTCGTTTAAGAATTTCACTTTTCCCATCATTTTTTCATTGACTGCTGGAAATTCGTTTTTGATAGGAGATAAGTCATTTCTATGCGCTCTATAAAAATCGTTCACTATCGTATGACCAAAGTCTAGATAAAAACTCAATCCGTATATATATATACGAGTCCGTGTAACCAAAAAGTTAAATCTTACATCACGAGTTGATTGATCAACTAATTGTTCTTTACAACCAACAACGATTTTCATTTCATCATTAACAAATGCATTCCAATGACTGTAAGAAAATGCCGTACATGATGATACCACCGCCATTTGATTATACACCCACCATTCTAATTTATGATTCTATAAAGTCAAAAAACAAATATTATTGTCGTCTAGTATTGTATTGATAGAAAAAAAATGATGAATCAATACTAACTTTATTAATAACGCTCACGTATGAATCTGAATCAGGTTCAGGAAAAACATTGAGACCAAGTAATCTTAATTTCTATTTATAAGAAAAAAAAAAAATTTTCATAGATTTCATTTCAAACATATGAATTTACTTCAATTAATTCTTTTAATGGCATAAATTTATTAGCAATTGGTTCAATAATAGCAACAAATGTTGGATTTGTTTTATAAATATCATCACCATCATCAACTCCTGGTCGACTTGTTGAAAGAGATGATGTTGATGTTGGTTGAAGAATACTTGGTTTAATACCTTTTGTACCAAATAATGATGTTGATTTTTCTTCAACTTGTACGTCTGGTTTTCGTGGTGGAAGAAATACAGCTACTTTATCGTACTAAAACAAAAATACATTGTCTTTCGTATTGAATTTACTGGAGAGTTAAAATATGACAAAAAAAATTGAAATTCGATTTTATACAAATGTATTGATAAGAAAAGTTGTTCTATATACTTAAGGGAATTTCTCTCTTTTTTTTTCGGCGTTTCTCAACAACACATCATAAGAAATATTTGAAGCTTTTATGTTAGATAATTCTTCTTGAGTTAAGCAAAAGTTATTATGAACTTCAAATTGTCAAAGACTTCCTTCTAGGAAATATTTAGGTCGCAAATTTTGAAAATTTTTCGTCTCCTTCCATTCGAATAAAAAGATTAAAATACTGAGTATATCACCAAAAAACATCAATTAATAAAACGTACTATGTCAAAGAAACTGAAGGTTATTCTACATTTGTTTTTCTCTATAGAAATCAATTTCGAGAAAAGTGACAGACAAATTACTCTGCATCTATCAGAATTGTTTGTTCTTTAACTGAAGTAACCGGAAACTGGCAGCGTTAGAGGTCTATGACCCATGCTGTCAGCACTTTTAATAGAAGAAATAAACATTATCATGAAGAGAATTTTACACACAAAAAATAATCGCAGCGCAAGTTTGTCTGACAAGAAGTTCGATGTTTGAGTTTAATAAGATTACTAACTAACAAAAAAAGAGCCCTTATCTATATGCTGTTTGACAGAGAACACTTCGTATCTTTATTAACAATAAAATAACTGAAAATTAAACGGCAAGTAATGTCGATTTTAACATCTGTACAAGCGGTGGAGATTTCTTAATCGATCAAATAGAGAAAAAAAATTGCATGACAAGAATAATCTTCATTTATTTTTATATGATTTTGAAATCCTACTAAATAATTCTATTGTCACGAGATATTGTTCGACTAGAATAGAAATTTGTTTGATATAGATAAATTGGTAGTAGGTTCATGCATTTTTTTTTTTCGTTATCACTTATTGTAAAGTTTATAAAATAGCAAATAATCAAAGTTGATTTCCGACCATTTTGTTTATTCTTGTTTAATAATTGTTAAAAAATTCTCCTGAGATTTAACATCATGTTAAATTAAAAAAAAGAAAATAAGTACGTTTGACAATCTCAAGACGACGATCACTTTGAATATGGAAAGTAAATGAAAGATGTGTGAAGCCTTCAAAAGCTTTTTTGTATTCAGTTGTTCTTTTCTTTTCTTCTTCTTCTTCTTTTTTTTTAATGATCACGCCTATGATAATGGTGTTAGACATGCGTTAACCCTATTAGTGATGACGGCTATGTTGATGATGTGTTATCGTTCATTGTCATCACAATTTCCTGGGGCATCTTTCTTTTCTTACATCGATTTTCTTTTTTATATTTATACAACCTTCATCATCATCGTGATAATGTTCGATGAATTGTCTATTACAGATGGATATCGTAAAATAGTAATGCTGATATATATATATATATATATTCATATTGAAGAAAGATAAAAGGATTTTGCATGACGATATTGAATGTCATAGTATGGTCCATTTTCACATCTGTAAACCATCATGTTCTACAGTAATACAGACAAACAGTCAATAGAATAGAGGTGGTAAACCATCTAAGATAAAATAACTTCAAAACAAACAATTTTACTAAGAAACGACAAGGTGATATCTAATTTCTATAGTAGAATTTTTGACTATCAATCTATCTACATATTGTAATTCTTTTATTGGTATAAACATTCATGCATAGTTTTGTCTATATGCGTGCTATAGAAGAAATGATTAAGCCTACGGGCTTACTGATCGACTATGTATTTCTTCCGCTGCTATCATAGTTATTACTCTATAGTATGAGGATGATGCGACATACATTGAAAAAAAAATAGGATTAACCAATAAATATATTACTGCATCGTGCTTCTATTTTTCTTTTCCATTGAAAAAGTAAGCTGAGAGACATTTATATTTGTTAGCATAACCGCGACAAGAAAAGATCAAGTTGATGATTCGCTAACTTATTATAAATGGACTGTAGACAAAGTTGGTTTTATTTTGTGTTTTTTTGTCTCAAATCAAAATAATTGAATTAATTATAAATTCTTTTACATTCATTTATTTCTTTAACATTAATCATGCATAGTTTGTTTCTTTTCTTACTTTTCTTTTTTAAAAAATCTTACATTATAGACTAGAAAACATTTGTGCCTCCTTTTCTGTATTATCAATTAATAGCACTAAACACCCTCCCAAAAAAAAAGAAATTCTTTCTTCTTTTTATACGTAATACGACAAGAATCGTAGCTTGTATCTCTATTCTTCCCACGTTGACAACATGTCCTTAGTTTAGAAACAACAGTAGGAAGTAAGCAGACCGATGTCGATAGGAAATTTCGCATAGTAGAAGAAGCCAAATATGATATGAGATTTTTTTTTCTTCTCATGGATCATAGCTTAGAAGACAGCAAAAAAAACAGAAAACCTTTATTCTATACTTCATTGTTTTATAGTTAACAATGAACCACTATATTTCATTTATTTTTGTCTTCTATTAAATATGCATACTTCCTTAGTTTTATTATATTTGTATATCGATATATGCGTGGGAAAATCACTTGTCAGTCTATTGCTATCACTGCTGTTTCTATCTTTTGTTCTTCATTCATTCATTCTTTGCATTCGGTTTTTTTTTCTTTCCAATATAATGGATTTCTTGTCACTTGTCTCTATCTGTCTGCTTGGGTGTTCTCATCAAATTGACATATAAGCAGCTGACGTATGCATTAAGTTAGCTCAAAAATGCAGAATTTTTTTTTCCTTTTGTTTTTCGTGACAGCTATATTTAACGTTATTTCTTGACAATCGTTGAATGATTGCATAAATAAAATAGGTAACTGATTTCAGGCAAACGACATTTTTTTTTCTCAATACAGAATAATCATTAATTTTCTTATTATACTCCAAATCTGAATGCATGTGTAAAAAGAAAAAAGAAAACAAGAATTATTAATAAAATTTTTGAGTACTACATTATATTATATCGAAATGAATAGGAGACAAAAAAGAGAAGAATCTAGGACATGTATCTATAAATCCTGCTGTGCCATGTTATTTTTCGCCAGTCATCTTTGTTATTCTCTTACTATTTACACTTTATACACTCATTTTTCTCTTGAGTTCTCTTCAACAGAGGTCGATTGCATCTCATTTTCAAGATAAGAATCTACATACATAGAGTTTCTTTTTTTTTTTTTCTATCAACCATTTTTATAGGATTTACTACTATTGTTGGCATATCGAGTGCATAGAGGAAATGACATCACCGGGATGTATTATTGTTGCACACACACACTCACATATATATATATATATACGCATACATTCACGCAAGTCTATTCATTCATTGGCACGAGTAAGGAAACATACAGATTTTTTAGTCGTCCAAGAAGAGATAGAGAAATAGAGAGAAAGTTTTGTGTTTACTAAGAATGCGCAAGTCCTCACGGGAAAAAAAGACGAAGGAAAAAGAAAAGAGAAAACGAAGCTGCAATTCCATTGTCGTTGATGATAAAAAAAAAATGGCGAGAACAAAAACACACGCACATACACACCCTATACAGCGACACGAAGATAGATAGGAAAAAGATTTACAAAAAGAACAAACAAGTAGAATCTTTTTTTCTACTTTTTGTATTGTTTTATTCAACCGTTTATTCTAGTCAAGAGATCAACATATTATTAAATTTCTTGTATAAATATCAATTTTCTAGATATATAGTTACAACTACAAAAAGAAACATAACATAAGAAAGAAATTATACAAAATGATTTAGAAATTTAATTATTAATCTAATGGATGTACTCGAATTACCTCGACCTGTCATTAATTTTCTTCGAACAATGGCCAAAGAAAGTTGTCGTTATGCTCTTTCATGGGACATATTTGGTGGACCTGATTCAGTAACACTAACATTAACATGGAAACTTATTGATGATGAAGTACAATCATCAATGATTAATGAAACACTATCATCACCGCCATCATCATCATTATTAAAACAACAACAACAACAACAACAACAACAAATCTATGATAATCCTCGTATACGTTCAACTATTAAAGATAGCAATAGACCATTATCACCACGTCGTTCACGTCGTGATGAAAATACTTCTATGAATGAAAATATTTCTGTACCAGCTATATTTCGTTCAGCTCGAGGCAAAAGTCTTGAAGGTAGTTCTATACATTCAAATAAACAAATTATTCCTCATCATCAACATAATATAAAAGAACAACAACAACAACAACAACAACAACAACCATCACAACAACAGCATATATCTAGTTTAGAACGACCAACAATAACTAATCATCATCACCAACGTCGAACAAAAAAAGAACAACAAAAACAAATACCAACACAGTCAGATCAAATCTATGGAAATATTGCTGATACACGTTCAACATCTGTTGCTAAATGTGCCACTATATCGTCTCTATCGAGTTCTTCTCCATCCCCTCAGCCAAACATTAATAATAATAATAATAATAATCCACCCTTATCCGTCGCTCATACTCATCATCAACGTACTAAACAACAACAACAACAACAACAACAATCATCTATAACTCCACCAACGACTCGAAAACCTATACGTTCATTAATGAATACATCTCGTACACCACCAATACCGGTTACTAGTAATACATCATCAACCTATGCAAAATTGAGACGAAATAATAATGTAACTACTCATGATAATAATAATGACGATGATGATGAGACACTTGATCCATGGGTAAAACGTTTTGAATGTTCGTTTGAAGATAATGATGATGAAACTACAGAACAATCCGAAGATAAAGAACCTATTTCTACAACAACAGGCAATATTGATGATTTGGGAAATACATCTGGCAAAGTTAAATTCAAGGCAAAACCTGATTATTTCTAAACATGAGAAAAAAAAAAGAATCCTAATCTACTTATTCTATTTTGTTGTTTTTCTCAGGAGGAGAATGGAAAAGCTGAATATAATATATAACTATCTACGATCGAATATATCTCTCTCTCTCTATATATATACAAAAAATAATAATAATAATAAATTTATATATTGATCGCCAATTTTTTGTTACCATTTTGATATTTTTCTTTCTTATTTATTAGATAAAAAAAACCAATTTTGTCAAATAATGAACTAAGCAGACACCATATTTTGCTAGTTAGTATTATGATCATTTGTCAATATGTCATCATTATTGCCAACAAAGTTCATTGCTGTCATATTAGATTATACTATAATGCATTTGTTCGTTGCGTCAATCGGTGATTTTCATTATTTTTTTTTCTCGTTTTTTTTTTCTATACGATATTCCGTGTATGTGTGTGTGTGTGTCGTTTGCACATCATACTATTTCCGCTTGTCTTTTGACTTGACTATCAACCCAATTAACGCACATCCCATCGTTTGACTCCTTATTCTGTTCTTTTCTCTTTTTCCTGTTTTTACAGATACGGAAAAGAAAAAAAGAAGGCAAGCAGCTGGTGGGATCTATAAGCATAAAATTGAGACCATACTACGTTGATAGACACCAGCTGGTGTTAATGCGAATTAGACAAATGAACAGTATACAATATAGAGTTTGTTTTAGAACTATATAGGATATATGACACAAAGAGAGAGAGAGAGAGAGAGAGAGATTTTGTCCTACATTATTGTGACATTTTTTTTTTCTAAAATCATCTTTTATTTTCTTTTGCTTTATAATAATAATAATAATAATCAAAGAATTTATATAATCGTTACATTTATATAATAATATGTTTTAGTTAATCAAATGAATAGTTAATGTATATATTTAATGTTGATAGATTTAATTCGATAAAAAAAAAAAAGAAATCTTTATTTCTTGATCTAATTGAACTAAATTAATGCTTATGTTTTATTTATTTGTAAATTTTAAAATTTTTATAATTGTTATAATCCATATTTATATATATATATATATATTAGCAGTAAATGATTCATGAAAGATAAATTCATATTTATATGATGAAATCGAACTATGTATTCTTAACATGTCGTCAAGCTCTTTAAGATAAGCATCATTCATCATGATCGAAACACACTTGCCGTCGATGCAATCCCTCAAGAATTATTCAAAAAAAAAAAAAACAAAACATAACAAAAAGAAAAAAGATAATTCGTCCTTATCCAATTATGGTTCATATCCATTGATCGGGCATACTCTTGAGACAAGATCTATTCCTTGTTGTATATCAACTTATATTGAGTCAGTTTTGTTGTTAAAATTTCAAAGATTAATATTTTTTATTTGTTTTACAAATGATAATTAAAATAATGAAATAGTTCAATTTGAAATCTTAACTTAATTTATTATAACATCTAACAATATTTCATAAAAATTAGAACATTATAAATGACTTTTATAATGTTTAAATCTATTTTGTATAAAACAATAAATAAACAATTAACTCGAAATAGAACACTTATTGAATGAATAAAGTAGAAATAAAAACAATAAAAATCACCGGAACTAATCATTTCCTTTATTCACGTTTGTACTAAATAAATCAAAGAATTTCATATTTGTTTTTCTATAGAAAATATATAGTTCATGTAATAACAAGATTATAAATTTTCTAATTACATAGTCTAGCATTTAAAAAACGAAGAATATTTATCATCAATATAAATCATTCACAAGGTTTATATTCATTCTCATTCAATAGATATATGCCAGATAAATGTCTATTTCAAATATGTAGCAAATGAAATATCGACAATCTATTATAGATTATATAAGTATGAAATTGCGATACTTCTTCTTTTTTTTTCTTTATCTATGATGCAGTTATATTCGTTTACAGAGAAAAAAAGAAGATTTTCATAATGACTCTTTCTTATTAGAAAAAAAAAATGGTTCTTATCAATAGAAATTCTCAATTAACATTGATTTTCTTTTTCTACCCTACTAGAAAAATATTCGAGTAGAATTCTTTTTTTTCAAATTTCAATATACTCGATTGAATGAGATATAAAACAGGTCAAGCAAAGGTAGACATATCTCGTTAGTCCATCTCGATTTTCTTCTAAAGTAAATTTTACATAATACTTCCTATACATTCTAAATATTGAATAACCTCATATTTTTGTTACTGTTACAGAAATAAAGTCAATAAATATAAGTCATTTAGATCATTTCTTAAAATGACTATCTTATAGAACGAAAAACAAAAACGGAAGCTGATTATTTTAAGTACAAATATAAAGTCTGATCTAGAAAAAGGTCGATAAAAATAACAAGTATGAATGTTTAATAAAGATTAGATAAAAACGATACAATTACATATTGAATAAATTTAATCAATATCGAAAACAATTGTTTAGTTGAATAATTTTATCTCAAAGGACAAAAGAAAAGTCACCAAATAACTAACGATAAGATCATGTATTAATAATAAAAAAAAAAAATTTAATTTTATTCAATATAAAAAAACATTCTACTCACGAAAACGTATCCATCTTAATAGATCATTTGAAAAGACTTGACATATAACTATTCACATCATTTACTTTTTATTCTAAACTTTCATCAATATCATTGATCAATTATCTCATTCTTTCACTATTCTGTATTCTATCATCATACTCTAAATCATCTCTGTTAACATTTCTAGCAATCAATCATTAATTGACATTTTTCATTTTACTATCATAGATACACACAGGTAGATAAGCAGAAAATAATTGTTTTTTTTTATACAATATTAATTATTAGTTTGTTAATTTACTAATTATTTCGTATATCAAGAATAGAAACATTCATGGCCATTATCAAACAGTAAGTTATATAGTAACAGAGATACTTGAGACAGTTAAATAAAAAGTACATATGAGAGAATTTTTTTTTTTGATCGATTTTCTCATCATTTCTATATGCGATGAGAAACCTCATGAACCATATATGAGACAGGGACAAACATCATATATTATTATGATTGAAAACAATAATAATATTCAAATAAGAGCAATTTATGAATAGAAAATTGCATCATCAACGACATCGTTTACTTGCTCTCTATCTGTCATTGACAGCGTGTGTGTGCGTGTGTGTTTTATTTCTCGTTGTTCATCAATTGAAAGATAATAGAATCGAAACAAAACTGATGTCTGTAGATACACCTGTTCAATACAACCATGAACATAAATAGATATTTATATGCCGGAAGCATTTTGAAGTAAGTGAATGATATATACATATGATCACAAGATTAATAATCAGTTTCAATGTATGTATCTATTCTCTTAAATAAAAATAAGATTTCATCAATTTAATAAAGAACGAAAGAAACAAAAAAAAGAATGAAGCTTTTCATTTTTTTTATCTTCTATAGTTTATTATCATAATCTCAATGAATAGAATTTCCTTCCGGACATCTGCTAAGTGTATATATTATTAAAGCATAACAAAAAAATATAGTTACTATCAAAATATCTCAACAATTGTATGATCAATATGAGATCAAATTACTTTTTATTTTTATGTCCGGAACAAACGATACTTTTCTATGGTCTGTAGAATCGATAGAAAAGTTGTTGTTTTCTTCTTAAATTACTACTACTACTTGTAAAATCATTCAGTAACTTATTTATATGTGTGTATCATGACACCTACTCATCTGTCAGCGCCTGTCGGCTTGTCTTGTGGCTTGCTCTTACTATTCGTTTTTCTCTCTTTATCTCTCTCTCTCTCTCTTCAGTTTTTTACCCAAATGTCATTGATTTCTTCTCTTCTTTTCTTTACTTTCTCTACCTCCTTCTCTTTGTCGATTGTAGTTTTACTGGTATGTGACCATTGCCGTCGGCGAACCGAATATTCCTTCGTCTTCTTTTTCTTCGTCGCCGTTGGTTTGTTCTCTAATAATAATCATACACATCTCATATTAACGCGATTATCCATGATAGATGGTTTGACCGGTGGTCTTTTATATATTTATATATACATTGATATCGTTGATCATTTTGTTATTCTCATTTTTCTACACAATCGTTATTAGTAGAATTCCAATAGCTTTACATTACATTCTTAATTATCCTACTTAATTTGCGATTGACATTGAAAATATCAAGTAAAAACAAAAGAGTACAAGCAATAGAAGTAGAATCGAAGATAACAAATGATTGAACATTGATCTCTCTTTTTCTTCTTCTGTGATTTACATTTATCTCTGTTTTTTCATACAATCGCTACCAGGAGAGAAAGAGAAGATATGGATCATCGTAATGCACCGACTTCTAACATAACAATGGTTAATTCAAGTAACAATAACAACCATTTGCATCATCATGATCATCGTAATCGGCGAACAAAAAAAACAATAAAAGAACAACAAAAACCATCATCAACGTTAGTATTAAAAAATCAATATGTTCCAACATTATTTATTACTGATCCTCGATCTAATGAGTCAAAAATCTGTACACATGAACAACAACAACAGCAGCAGCAAGGACAAATGTCTACGAAAAATCCTTTAGCATGGACTAAAAAATGGACTAAATGGTTTTCATCATGTGGTTCAGAACGTATATCTCATACTAACTCAAATTCAAGCACACAATTCATTGAGGTGAGTTAATATTTATTTATTTAATTTTTTTTTAGCATTTACAACCTGCTGTGCTATCAATCGTTTGATATATAAGACGTTGATTTCTTTCAAACAACAATTGATTAATGATTTAAAAAAAACTTCTTTTTTTTAACAGTTCTCATGTGTATAATCTATTGTCTGAAAGACGTGATCGAGTGTCGATAAAAGAATAACAACATATCTAAGACATCATTGGTGTATGTGTAAGACGATCTTACAATGTCTGCTTAATAGAAAGAAAAACAAAATCTGTTTAACAGGAACAAAGAAAAG